AGCCTCAGTGTAAACCAGCAGGGAGGGCAGCAGCAGAAGCTGGTTCAGCTCATTCTTCAGGTTGATGTAGTGGTAGCCTGGAAGGAAGGATGGATGAAGGAAGATTAATTAATAAATTACTGACTACTAGGTATTTGTGTGTGTTGGGGTACTGACCAGGTCTAATAGCTGACACAGGGAGGATCCGGTGGCCAATAAACTTGCCGTTTTCTTCAAACACCGCTATCCTCAAGGAGGCCAGTGTAGGGAGGACGATCTGGAGAGAAAGAGGTGTTAGTGCCATGGAAGAAGCTGAGTGCATGTAAATGTTATCAAAAAACAGAAGATGAAGGGGGAGAGAGAGTTCTCAGACATCTAAATCCGAGTGTGAACATAAGATACCTTATTGAAGACAAACATTTCATCATCCCATACAGGGTCTAGCGAATTCCCATTGGATGTTTTGGTTCTGTATTTCCTCTTTGTATCAGTAGGAAGTCCAAATATGTCCACTTCCACATACACGCCCACCTTCTTATCTGTCAGGAACTGGCCTGAGATCACCTAATGAGTGTTACATTATACAATAGATGTTCATTGTAACAACTCATATAGATGTCATTTTTTACTTGAACTGAACTCGGTTTCTCCTTACCCTGATTTTGACTGTATTGGCGACAATCCCATCTACTATGTTCTCCGTAAAAGGGTCAAAGTGTTTGTCCGTCCTTCTCATGAACTCGGGTTTCAGAAGGTAGCCGCTGCGGCCATTATACTCAAACACCCCCATGTTCAGCTGCATGGGGAGGTCTGCCAGAGAGGAAGAGGAAAAATCCAACCTAAGACAGCTGTACTTATTTCTAGTAAAAGAATTAAAAGGTCCTGAGACATTTAAAGTTCTACTGTAGACCTAACTTCTAAGACCACACAGTTCCTTTCCGTCTTGAGACTAAAACAACAGAACTTACCAAGGCTCTGAAAATTAAGCGCCACCATCTGGCACCCAACATTCCAGAATAGCTGAGGCATGTAGTTGGAGCTGTCCACCCTCGTGCCTTTAGGATAGATTCGGCTCAGCTGGTTCTTGTTGTACCTGGAGGACGTTGTTAAGGATTAATGTTGCATAAAGATGTAAGGTAGTGGATGTGTGCTCAGAGTGTTTCTCACATGCTGGAAATTGCAGCAGATAAAGGACAGACACACCAAAAATTATGCATATAAACATTTCCTCAAAGGAAGCTCAGGTTTTCAAGGATACTCGACAAACTCGATAGGGGAGCTCTTCAGGGTGTCCATGCCTTTAGTCTCTACAAACGATGACATCTCATAGAACTTCCTCCTCTCTGGTGGACAGAAAATGAATGAAGACAGAGTAAAGAAAAAGGAAACCTGTCATAAGAAAGGCAAATTAAACTGACACAAGAACTGGAACCGATTAACAAGAATCACCCACACAGGAATAATGAGCTACACAGGAGAAATGCTAAGCTTTGTCCACCCTCACACATACTTTTTTCTCCTCGTTTCACATCCTTTTTGTACACAAAGTCAAGACATCTTACTGTCTCTGTCTTTATGTCACCCACGCACACTTACTGGCTGCCAACTCAAAGCTCTTGAATTTGACAGGTTCGATGTAGTTGACAAGAGTCGACATCTCCTCTGTGGCGTTCACTTCACTGCTGGCTGTGCCCTGCAGGAAGCAGATACCACCAATCCATTAGTCACCTCATCATTCAGTCAAACCGTCTTCAGTCCTGCTTCTGATGGCTCTTACCTCATCAGTGTTTGGCTTTTTCGGCTCCGCCACCGGTTCATCCTCCTCATCCTCCTCGCTTTCTCCCTCACCCCCTTGGTAAGACGGAACAAAATACATGCATAATTATTGGCACCCTTTTTAATCACCCATGCCATTTTTCTTTCACCTACCTATGGACTTGCGAGGGTCTGAGTATTTGACCATCCTCTCAGCCAGCTTCTCCTCCCCATTGGACAGAAGCTGGTTTCCCTCATTGTCTGTCAAAGGACAGTCTAAAACAAACAGTAGCACAGTATCAGCTTGAATTTGCTGGCATGAAATCCGTCTTTGCACATCAATGTACTCTACGCTTGTGTGTAGCTTCCAAGACTATGCAGGTTTCCATTCCTTCAAGCTGATTCTACCAGTTATTAAAACCAGAGAAGAGTGAAATCAGATGCTTCATGCAATCGGAGCCTGCAGATGTAGGTAGCATTTTTTTTTTGTAAAAACATAGCTTTCTGCATGACTGGTGTGCCTGCATACCATTGTTGGGTGACGGCTGCTCCCCCAGCTCCCTGCGTCGTATGCTCCCACCACTTGATGGTCGGTGGTAATGGTGCTTTTTCTTGTTTTTAATGAGAATCTTTCCCAGCATCTCTTGAGGTGAGGGGAGCAGCTGGCCTGGGACCAACTAAATGGGCAAGACAGAAGAAAATTCACTGGAAAATCAAGATTGTTAAAAAGTATCTTGAGAGTTAAATATGACATATTAGTGAAGTTCATCTTAGATCTGACTGGAGATCAGTCTTACTGGATATTTGTCCAGTGGATCAATGAGTAGGGCGTCTCCAAAGATGGTCCTGCAGTACTCTGCCATCTTGGCCTGCTGCTTGGCCCTGACAGGACAACAAACACAAGTTAGTTTCTGATTCTGACTGAAAACCCAAAATGCCCTCAATCATCACTTGTTGTTTTAATGCCACATTTTAGAGAAATATTTCAATGAAGACCTTGTGTTTCACTGCAGACCTGGTTAGACTAAATTGTAAACAATAAAAAAGACAAATCAATAGTCCAAAATATACAGAGCCTCTAATTAAACAGCTCATTCCAGATACTGACAAATATGGACGTGACTTACGAATCTACGTGGTTTTCAAAGGATAGAATGACGGGGTATGGAGAGGTCTTGAAAGCACTTTCTGCTATTGCTTCAATCACCTCCTGCAGTCAGGGAAGGAATAGTGACATTAAAAGGAATATCACTGAATAAAATTACATGCATGGTAGAATAATCATCTCCTCCGAGTGTGTCATTGGTGCTTAGAAAAATATACAATGCTGCACCCTCTTCTGACTATTGTACAAATCAAAGAGCAGAATTTTGCCTTGTGAAGGGCTGCAACGTGTTTGTGACACAAGATAAATAGACAGTATTTTAATCAGATCCCAGAATACTCAATAGATCTGTTTCAGTGAACTGGGTTATGGCACTACCATCAACGATACAACACTACATGATAATGTGTAGTAGACTGTGGAGACTTTTAGTTGCCTCCATACGCAGCTTTCTTTTTTTTTGATAAGATGGCCACACACCAAATTATTTTCAAAAGCTGAAGTATTTGAAGTTCACTAGTGACACCTACTATTAAAAGTAATGAAGTGCAGCCAGATCATAATCATGCCCTGGAAAGTGCAAATTTTACTCTCACTGTCCTAGCGTTGAACCAAAGACAATGCAAAAAGTCCAGATCTTTAGTACTAAACTTAACATACTGGTAAAGTCCCTGCACTTTCCACAGACCAATCAACCATTATGAAAATCATGAAATGTTCAGGTTTCTAGGGTCCTTGTATCAACAAGCTGAGGCTCAAACTGAAATAAGCATGATTCCGCAAGAAACCGAGGCCTCCTTTGTCACTATTGTCTGCAAATATCATCACTTTCAATTGGCAATTTGCTGAATCACTTTTATATGATGCCTGTCAGAGTGGAAAAACAGACATTTGTGTATGGGGAAATTCACATAAACATTTCATATTCTTGTAAAAACGCTGTACACTAAAAGTTATGAGAGCACTGACAAATTACACAAATTCAACTTAATAAAACCGTCACAATTTAAAGGAAACTGAATAAGCAGCAGCTCCCACCTTGAAGGAGATCTCAGTGGTCATGGTGAACCCGTGGGTGATGTAGGGCTCCTCGTCTTTTGGCTGACCCTTCCAGCAGTCCAGCTCCACACAGCGACAGCCGGTCAGCAGCACCTGCCTGTACATCTCCACTGAAGATAGACCAGTCAGCTGTCCAACTGAAAACACACACATGAACCGGAGGGAAATATGCAAATAAAGCGTGATATTAATATGACTCATTAAACCTGTGTCTCATTAGACCTGAAGAAAATGTGAGTGTGTTTTTACCTGTGAGGTATGTGTTGTGTGAGGAGTTGACAAAGTAATGAGACAGCGGTTGGTTCATATCGTCGATGAGATCCAGCCTCTCTGGAGGTACAATACTGTTTTCTTCTCCTCCCAGATACCGACTGAAACCCTGCAAACTGATCTGGTCTGAAGGAAGATGGACAAAAGAAAGGACAGAGCTCATAGACTTAGATTATTAAACAGCTAAATAAGTGACCATAACAGCAGAAGGCTCCTGTTTTGCGGACATCAATAGATTTAGAAGGCGGCTGGACACTAAGGGCTGGACGGTGGATCATCTTACAGATTCTGGCTTACAGTAGCCATGGCTGTGTTTGTTTCCAAGTTTCGTGCATTTTATCCACAGATGGCTGCAGCAAAACATATGGGGGAACATTCAGGAAGATTTATGAGAGATTCCAAAATTCTGGATGTTACACAACACCAGTGAAATGGATATGGCTTTGGTCAGTCAGCGGCCCAGAGTTTTAGAAGCCATGTGCTCCAATTTGTAATAAAAGTGAAGGACTTTAATTACACCTATCAACCTACGTATGATTATCTGAGTACCTGACATAAGGACAAACAGAAGTGATACAGCAGTATGTACACTGAATTCTTGTCATCTAGCCCCTTTTGGTGCCGTTGTTTGGTTCAGTGAAAAAACAGCTTCTACAGAGTTACTAACCTCTCTCCAGCTGGCTAGTGTTGGTCTCATATTTCTCCATAATCTGTCGGACCTGCTCTCTCTTCAGCGGGGGATACAGCACCTCGTTCAGTCTGGAGTCTCTCTGCCTGCCGTTGATGAAATCCATTAACTGGTCCAAAGAGATGAACGGCTTCCTTTTGGAGCCACTAGAGTAAAGAGAAAAGTGTACTGATAAGAATGTGTGTATAACCACACAGGGACTTAAGATGTGGCGAACATTGCTAGGAATCCTAAAAATATAACTTCAGCATCAACACTAAAGGATTTAGGGTGGGGTTAAAATTTTATTCTGGCTAATGGGAAGGGGGATAAACATAGTGGAAAATTAGTGTTGTGTGTTATTCGTGTGTTACATACCTTTCCTCAAAGATGCTTTGTATCTCAGGCCGGAGACAGAGGCTGTCGAGAAATTTCTGGAAGACATCCCACGTGAAATCGTCTGGCTTTATTCCCTCTGACTGCAGAGCAAGAACACAGAGGATTGTGTACAAAGACATGGAAGAAAACACAGAGAGAGAAAGTGACTGAACATCAAAATGGTGAATACTTTTGAGAGGAAGAGGTTTAGGTTTTTCAGACAACTCTATGACCATGGTTTCACTTTGCCATCATGGGTGATTACATGTATAGTGATGGGCAGAAATAGCAAATGTATCCACAACACAGCAAAATGTGCAAAAAATAAAGGGGCTGAATATTCTTTGAATCCACTGTACTGTAAATCCTATTGTGCCGAGTGTGTTATTTTATTGAAATACTTCATTGTGGAGTCCAAAGTAAATTTCCTGATGGGGACACATAAGGTATATCTTATCTTAACACATTTTAAGGCTGGATGAATCCCAAAGGCATGAAATTCCTGCTTTATACTGAAGTTCCTTTACAGAAAAGTTGGACAAAAGACTGATTTCCTGCCCTTTCTCTGGGCTTTTCACTTGCTGAATGTGTTAAATTTGCTTTCTCTGAGAAACTGCAAAGATTTTGACACAGACACTTTGATTCTGATCCTGCCTAACAGTGAGTCAGGTTCTCAGCAGCCATCTGTCTGCAGCTCCCTACTGACACCCAACTCATTCCCACTAGAAGTTAAAAGAACAAACAAACAAATAACAGGCATATTTCTACTGAACTATTAATAATAATAATCATAAACAGACAGAGGCCAAATAGATATCCAGCGTCTGATATAGGCCAACCCCCACCCAGCAGGCTCTCCCACCGGGGGCTTAACCGTGGGGGCCCAGAGTACACACACTAATATATTAAAACTAGTTAAGAAATAAATTATTAAAGGTGACAAAAATCAGTGAACACGCTAAACATTAAAAGCCTGTTTGAAAAGATGTGTTTTTAACGCTGACTTCAACGCTGCCAGCTCAGTTATTGAGCGTATATCTAAAGGCAGGGAATTCCACAGCCTAGGGCCATGCACGGCAAAGGCGCGACCTCCCCATTTTTTGTAGTGTGCAGGGGGAACGACAAGAGCAAGGTGACCCGATGATCGCAGGGTTCTGCGAGGGACATATCTAGCCAAGAGGTCGGACAGGTACTGAGGGGCAAGGCCGTGCAAGGCTTTAAAAACATAAAGCAAAACCTTAAAATCTATTCTCCATTTAACGGGCAGCCAGTGAAGAGACAGCAGAACCGGAGTGATATGGGCATGCCGACGAGTGTTAAGTACTATAAACTCTATAAAAGTGCTTTTGAAAGCACCAAATAACACAGTCTGTATTTTCCCACCATGTCTCTACTTCTGTGTTACCACATATCCAGCAGGAGGCACAAGAGTACATCGATACAAAGTTTGGACAATCTGGTTTCTTATTGAAAAGAAATTTGTCTTGTGACTCCAAAATGATTTTTAGAAGATTTCGCTGACTGATCAAGACACAAGAAGCATTGTTTCACCTACTGCACATACAGGCAGTTGTGCTAATTTGACAACAGAATGGATGAAAAGCATATGTGCTAATGTTTTCATTAGACTCAGGCTTGAAAGAATGAATGGAGCAATAGTTCGTAGTGTTTCCTTGTGTGGAAAATACTGCAATTTCAAACTGGGTTTTTTAGGCATAAATGGATATTAATTTTGGCTTGTCAATAAAAACATTTAAAATGATCGCTCTGATTTGAAAGACAAACCCAAGCAGCCCTTAATAAAACACACACACACACACACACACACAAGCGCCTGCAATGCTAGACACTGGAGACACGTTTTTCCCCATATCCCAGTCAGATGAGCCTTCATCATGCCACCTGTCATGTTCCAGATGTTACATTACAATACTGTTTTTCATATTATTGAATTGTCAGTGCTATTTAATATTTCAACTGTTCATCTATTACATTTAGACAAATTATTTATTTTTCCCTTGGCTAATTATGTCATATGTTTATTCATACTTTTAAAGGTAGGGATGTTATTCCTTCCAGAAGCATTTTTTGTTACATTTCTTGAATTCCTCTTTTCACCCCAATGGCAATGAACACATTAAATGCACTGACAACTTAAAAAGAAAAACATCCATCATCTGTGGCAGCAGCGGGGCTTAAAAACACCTGACCAATAACTGTACTTGTCCCAAGCAAAACCGTTGGATTGCATTTGATGATTACCCTGTTATTGACGAGGCCACACTGCTCCAAAGCCATCTCCACTCGCTTCTTATCTGAAAACATCTTGAGAATACTGAAAAACAAAGACAAAGAGTTTGGAGAAAGGGGTTTTTATCAAGACTGAATGTAGCTTACTGTTCCAAATTAAATTAAATTCAGGAGAGTCTAAAAAAAAAAGAACTGAGATTAACTACAAAGTAAATTTCAGTCAAAAGAGAAAGTAGAACAGAGACAGAGAAGAGGAAAAGAAAGAAGAAGTGAATGCCACCAGAGTTTAGAGCTTTAAAAAGTGGTTGGTGTGTGTCTCACTTCTTCGATGGAATCTTCCCATCCTGATTCACCTGCAACTTTAACTTAGTGTACCTGAAACAAACAGACAAGACACAGCAAGTGTTTCAAAACAGTGATCTAAAATCTACAGCTGTCTAATGTCAAGATAAGACCCAGTCCGAGTCTTACGCTTTGAGGAGGAAAGTGTTCCGTGATGCATTCTGGGAAAGTATGTTTGTGGCCAACGTGAATAGCTCATCTGTCCAGATCTGGAACACACACACACACACAGACAGGAACATCATCACTGGGGGATCAAACAGGGTTGTTTGACTGTTCGCCTGATGTCAAACCTAAGTGAAACAGTATTTGTATACAATATACAACACACACACACACACACACACACACACACACAGTGGAAATCCTGCTTACAATTCCTAAAGATGCACAAACACATGCCTCTGTGTCAGCATTGTAAAGTGAGTAATCTGTGTTTGGCCTAAGGAAAGAAAGTCAACTAGAGGGGGATAAGGAGGAAGGAAGGACAAGTATAAGGAATTTTATAGGATCACTCACCTTGGCTGTATCTTCCTGCATAGCCTGGAAGTTGAGATAGGATATGTTGACCAGGTCATTGCCATAGACGACAGATACTAGCTTCCGTTCTGCGTTGTCAGCCTTACCGAAACCCAGCACCTCCCGCACCTTTGGATCCTGACAAACACAAACACGTGTGTACTTTTTGGGTATTTCACTTCACTAAATGTCGACATGATGCACATACAGTAATATACTGACCTCAGCACACAAGCTCTGCATCCTCCCTGATCTTTGTGCATCTCTCTATCCCCTTACAACTGTAAATGTGACACATACTCGATGATGCAGCAATGTCATCTAATTAACCAAATGATTTTCCTCCATTTTGGACCTTTCTCTCTCTTTCTCTCTGTCTCTCTACCACCTAAAGTCTCTCTATCATTTATGCATTATCTCCATCACTTTCTCTCTCATCTAACTCTTTCATTTCAGTTAAATAAATCAACATGGATGACTGCTTTTAAAGAAAAATACTACCAAGGCAGTGCACAAAATGTACTGTCATTGAGCTAGCAGGAACACATACAGCAGCAACATTAGCATTCATTTGGAGTCGTTTCTCCTCCAACATGATGAATAAAAGTCCAACAATTACTCTCCTTTTAGATCTGGTCTCTACTAATTCCTGAAGGATATACAGTATCTTGCTCTTTAGCTGCTAAATGTTCCACTGTGTTCACCAGGTAGTGCCAATTTGTGCTGAGCTGCCGCCTGCAGCTGCTGTAGACAACACTGAAGGGAGCGGGGACACTAAAGCAAAAAGCTGCAGGATGTACGCCTAAAATAATAAGTTAAAGGATGCTAAAATGTAAAGCACAGCTGAGGGGAACTATAGAGTTGGGTGATAATGATCTGTGCATTTATCATTATGAACAGCCCATTTCAAATGGCAGTTTTTTATTCTGTTAATGTTAAAATATTGAATATAGCAGCTTTTAAATGATTTTTAACGTTGTGATCACAAATAAAAGTTGCACTGGAGTGGAGACAGAAATCTAATTTCAAAACAAAGGCATCCCACATTGATAGCCAGCACACTATTCACAGGATATTTTATATGTTTTTCTATTTGTGTAAATATACTATTGATGATGTTATGGTATTTTTTGCCATAGCTCTTTTCAACACCAGACTGACATTACTAGACAGTCTTTTCTCACGACAAAACTCACTTTTTATAAAACACCCATAAAGTGCAACATGCAGATGTTGTTAAATTACTTATTTTTATTGATCAATTTGATCCACCAGCCTGCACTGTGGCATTACACCCATATATATTACCACTAATATGTCGCTTTACACAAGTATCTGTCAGCCAGTTCTATGCTCTTACACAATGACTTTCTCAGCAACAGCCGCTGGTTATATCACTTCCTGTCTGACAATCCATCTGTCAGCAGGCTCATTAGCGCTCCGTCACCTTTGCACTATTGGCTGAGAGAGAAAACGCAAATACAGTGAACACAGACACATCTTGTGGGGACAGTCACACTCAAGCATCACACTGCTGGTCAGACGACAAAGTTATCAACAGCAGGTGGTAGGAGCTTCTTTTTTTTCCTCACACATACACAAACACAATTACTAACCTTTGGTTGTTTGGCGTACTTTCCTGTTCTGGTGTCCCTGATGGTGCTGATGTCCAGAATCTCCACGTCCTAAAAATCAGACAGATGTCAGGAAATTTGTGTCAGCTTACATCACTTGATGAGTAGAAGAGTGTGTGCAAAACAAAAAGTCAACATCAAAAACTGCCTACTACATATGAATATTGCATTATGGTATATTATTAATTATCACCACAGCCAAGATTTGTTGTGAGGCTAGGGGCAAAAGCTGTTCAGCTCCTTTTTTAAAATTGTTAAGTATGTGACACCATCATATCTTTAGTCACGCCAGCAGCTGATTGGACTTAAATTCCCGCTAAACAGGTGAGCATGTTAGCTGATGTTAGCATTTTAGCTCTAAATAACCCTGTGCCTAAGTAGACCTTTACAGAGCTGCAAGCATGTCTGTAGACTCTGTCATGCCTCAGCTGCATATCCTGGTGCCACAGACTGCTAACCTCCTCAGATGTTTCCATTAACATTGCACTGGGACTGGCACAAAACCAGCAAAGTGTTTGCACGTATGTTAGCATTAGCATTTTGCTCATAGCCACACTACACTAGAATCTTGGGTTGAGTTGTTGTGTTGAGATGGAAGCCGTTTCCTCCTCTTATGCTCTGTCCAGTCTTTCTCCTCCCCTTCCAAACACCACTGACACATTAACTCAGTGCATGGTTGTGAGAGACAATGGCCAACAGAGACGGCGAGAAACAGCTGTGATTTAGAGAAAACATTTGGAGAATGTCGCACACACTCATACAGTACGTTAGGCATTTCTTTGGAGCACATTTGCATGACTGATACTGATGTGAATGCAAATGAGAAAAATACACACAGAAGACAGCACCCTCAAACTGACAGGAAGTTATAAACCCACCCATAAACACAGGAGGATGCATTCTAAATATTTGTTTCACCCTGCACTCCTTCCCTAAGCTGTCTCACTGTACTTCACCCACTTAATTCATCTCCCATCTTCCCTTTCTCCTCGTCTTTCTCTGCATTGCTGTGGCATTCAGGACATGATTTACATTTTTTTCCTCTATGCTAAGAATTTTCATTAATAAAAAAAAAGGTCTGATGTTTATGGATTTCCTCCTGTTATTCTTTGTGAGTCAACTTGGCCTTGTTATATCCATGTTCTACTCATATTTTCTTTCCAAAAACAACTAAGACAAACTCATGAAGTCACTGTCATTGGTATTATTTCACTTCAGCTGCGATGTCATCATCACACAGGTCAAGATTGGCCACAAGTAATAAAGGTCAGAAGTGTTGCACCACTTGGATTCAGCTCTGTCTCAGGCTTTGTCCTCTGATTGGCCTGTGGAGAATAACTTACTTCCTGAGGGAATAAAGCAGTTCTGGGTCTGTAGGACACACACACATACCTCCTCTCCCACAGGCTGTGGTTTCATTCTGCCATTGCCATGGTGACTCCTTGGAGACGGCAGTAATGAGACTACAACTTTGTCTGCCGCCTATGTGTGTGTCTTTGACATTTTCTCACTGCCTAGTAATCTAAAACACACACACTTAGACACAGCAATTTGCACACAGGCATTGCCTTAGCATGCAGGTCCTGACTTGTGAAACATCCTGACCTGTTGAGCAAGACAGGGTGTGTGTGTGTATGTGTGTCTGTGTAGGTATGTGCATGTGTATTAGAAAAAAGGCAGTGCACATTAGATGCATGTGACACAGAAGCGGGAGTGACTGTTCAGTAGAAAAAAAAAGTCTTCACTCAAGTGTTAGCATGTGATCAGAAAAATGTGAAGTACAATGTGTGTGTATTTCAGTGCACGATGTGGTGCATGTGTCCATGTGAAGGCCGGTCATCTCTGAGAGCACATTCCTAACATATTCCAGCCTTCTGCTCAGCTAGCATGTGTGTATCTGTGTGTTGCTGTGTGTAATATTTAGCTAGTCATGGCAGCTGTAGCGCCCCATTCATCTCTCAGTGCAGCACCCAAACACAGCTCACAGTCAGTTTATCACTCAGACTGAGCTGCAGGCTCATTGTCGCTCCAAATGAGTGTGGGTGACAGTTTTCCAGGAGTCATGTTGTGATAAAGTGCTACCATTTACTTTAATTTACTGTTTTTGGTGAACTAAAGGACTTTCCCTCAGTCTGCCTCATGCACCGTATTTCTGCCTCTGTTAGTGATTTCCTACATTTCCCAGAATGCACTCTCATACTGCTTTTAGAGAATGTTGTGAAGTTTGGCTGTGGATTAAATGGGCATTTTAGATAACCGTGTAGAAAAGCTGAGTCAGACCCTTTGGTGAAATAAAGTCTGGTCTACTGAGGAAGCGAGGCCCAAACCATTACTGATTATGTATTAGATTATTGAATTATTGCATTATTGCAATCAACCACAGAAGCACTAATCTGATCCACTAAAGTAGTGGTGTCACTGCTGGCTGTAGTTGCACACATCTAACTATAGTAGCTATTAGCGGTGTAACAATACTAAAAACTCACAATACAATATTACTACAGTATAAAGGCAATGATTTATAATGATATTAAAAATTTAAAAGGATGGGAAAAACGTCCTTTACTAAATAATAAATCAGCATTTTTTGTATAATGTATATAAAAGATAATGCAGCAGTCAGTATCAGTCCTTTTGGGAGATAAAATAAAATAATATATTATTGCAGTAGCTGGATCTTAAATAAAACAAGTTACATTCCCAGTGGACATCAGTGTTTCAGTACTCCCCTGGGCGGATTTGAATTTCTCTATTTGGTGGTCGTATCAACCAGTGGTGAGAAGAAGACGCCAAAACAGGATAAGCCACATAAAGGTGAGGTTTGTGCTTTACTGGAAGTGTTGTTGAAACATCGTGATCTACTTTCTCAAGAAATAAGACTTTAAGGGTGGTTAATAAGTGGTTGGTTTTGCATACGTGCATCCTGTTTGTTTGTCCATTTCTGTTAAAGTGCTGCATGCAGTCATGTCTGTCAACGACAGAGCATCCATTATGCCAGTTTCAAATTCTGCAACCAGCACTCAGTTATACTAATGAAATAACCATATAAAGATTACTGTCATACTTCCATGACATTGATTCATTTTTCTTTCTATCTCAATATCACATAATTACAAATTTTGTTACATCCTTAGTTGCTGTAGTACAGTATAGGTGGTTTTGATCCAGAAGCAGGTATCTGGTTACTCTATATTTGGACACCAAACACGAGTACACTCAGCGTTAATGTGCTTTGATTAGACCCTCATTTACTCCTTTCCTTCCTTCATTTCTTTGATTTTCCACTTCCCCCCTCCTCCCTGCTCTGCTATTCCCCTCCATTCATTTTCTTAAGATTAGAAAACGAAAGGGCAACTAAACAATCAAAAGAACACCACTCCTTTCCTGTGACGCGCCTGCATGTGTTTAAAAGTTCACCGCAACTAAATGTATCTCGAACAACCAGTCACGGTTTCTCAAATGCCACATAATGACAGCATAAAGAAAACAGATCCTCACACAAACCCATACGCATGGTGTACGTCTCCACCCTCTACTGCTTGGCTGCGACCTAAATGGCCAGTAAGTGCAGAGAAGAGAAAAGCAGAGGTAGCCTTGACAGAAGGACACAGAAATATCATAGGATTAGAAATAAGAAGCATGAGAGAGCTCTGTAACTGTCTCTGTGTCACCCCGTAATATTTCCTCTGTGTATGTCAAGTGGATCTCACTCTCTCTTTCTGCCACTTCTCATTTATCACACCCTCCTTTATCTGTTTTCCTCTCTCCCTTTTAAAGTCCTCTTCACTCAGTTGTTTCATGTTTCTGAGGTCTGGAGAGGGTGAAAATCAAGAGAGATTAAACACCAAAGTGGGTACATTAACTTTTGCATCTTAGCCACTTAGTGGACAAACTGATCCAGAGTGATCTGCAATCAGTGAAATATTAGAATCTACACAAAGAAAAAACAAGTGCTGAAAGGACAGAAAACCAGAGAGAGAGAGAAATGAAATGGTAAATTGTCTTTTACTTGTATAGCGCCTTTTTATGCTTTACAGCACACTCAAAGCGCTTTCACATTATTCGGCCATTCACCCATTCGCAGTCCCAAGCACTCACGCATTCACACACCAGTGACATCACCGGGAGCAACTGGGGGTTCAGCGTCTTGCTCAAGGACACCTCGACATGTTGACTGGACAAGCCGGGAATCGAACCGCTAATCCTCCGGTTAGGAAACGACCCACTCTACCTCCTGAGCCACAGCCGCCCCCGAAATGATCGAAATGAAGTCGATCCAAAAGTATGAGGAAGGAAAAACAATAATTTATGCAAAGAAAAGCAAAATTGTAAACAAAATTAATATGTACACAAATAAACCAGTTATACCAACTGTCAAGGTGTAAATAAATACTGGTTGAATTAGGCTGAGCACATACAAAGCAAAAATAGTTGCAGGAATCTTTCACAAAACGCAAACACACGTAGAGATTAGTGGTGGTGAAGTTACCACACAAGCCTGCATGTGCAGCTGCCCACAGCCCTACTGACACTGACACACACACACACACACACACACACACACTTGCAGAAAGACATGGATGGCAGGGTGAAAGTGGAACTGTCTAAAGGAGTAGTTCAACATCTTTGGAAATACACTTATTTGCTTTCTGGATCGGAGTAAAAAGAAAAAGCCATTTTCTCAGTGAGAGACTGCTAATTGACATCTGCTAATCTGACAACCTCACAGTGAGGACAAGACTCCACAAAGAAGTCAGTGGCCCAGCAAAGAACTATGAAGTGGTAAAACTACTGACTGCATATAAAAGATGGACACTTACACTTCACCTGCTAGGTCTAAGAGGCAGCATGTGAGAGGAGCTAGCTGGGCAGCTAGCTACCTGTAGCGAAACCCTCCCACCTGTCACTCAAAGCGGCTATTCCCTTAATTATGCACAACTTTTAGACTCAATATAAATGGAGAAATTATATAAAAATTCATGCCGCCTAACAGTCGTCATGCTGTAAACCTGGACATTTTAACATGGGAGTCTATGGGGACTGATTTCCAT